AAAGAATGGGGAGTTGAGATGAACTGAGAGTCTTAGCACAGCGAAAATTAAAGGAACATCTGATAGATGTGTTTGAAATTTTGAAAGCTTTTGATTGAATTAATATGGAGAAACCATTTGTGCTGGCAGAGAGGTTGGTAATTAGAGGATTTTAATTCGTTTGCCAAAGAAGTAGCGTTGACCTGAACAAAATATATTTGTGACATGTTAGGATCTGTAACATGCCACCTGAAAAGATAACAAAATCGCCATAGTCCCAGAGGACATCATTCATAGCGATGACTGGTGGTGAGTTTAATTTGTGTTAACTTAATGTCTCTGCACCTCAGGCAAGGAGCAAGATTGAGAAGACGGGGACTTCATTGTAACTTCAGCTAGTGTGGGAATTGAACCATGCTGTTGGTGTCACTCTACAATGCAAACCAGATGTCCAACCAACTGAACACTTATGAAAAGATAGACACATTGAATAATAACTCTGAATAAGGATTGGATAATCACTTGACAGGAGCCAGCTGCACTGTGAGGGAAAAGTGCTGAACAGCGGGACTTATTGGATAGCTGTACCAAAGAGTCAGCCCAGACTCAATGGATCGAATGACTAGTCATCATTCTATGGTTTTAACAGTTCTTTGTATAAGTGAAGCAGACATGCCAGTCCCTATATCTCAAAGCATGAATGGACTGAATCCCGATACAGCTTATATTGTAAAGTGAGGTATAACGAGATTTAATTTCAATCATATATATTCTCCATAAAAGCATAATTTGTTGAACTATGAGGTCAACCGTTATGGTGGACACATATTGCTATGATCTGGACAATGTCGTTGTTGTCAAAACAGGAGGAAAACTGGTTACTATAGATTAAATTGGTCTGTTTCCAAAGAAGTTGAATTTTTCTTTCCTTTTTCTTTATCTCACTACAGTACGTATGTGCTCAGACCGACTCCGACTCATAAAAGAATGTATTAATCAGTGCCCAACAGCGTACAAACAGTCCAAAAAGCTCTTGATTCTTGCTGATTTACTGAGAGTAGCAGGTAAGTGGGCTTGTTGGTAATTTGTATCTCTCCAATTAGATAGCATTAGTGATACACAAAGGTACAAATAATTGTTGACAGAAACCTGTTCACTTGGCTCTCTTATATAATGTCCACTAGATGTTGCAATCTTTGTTAATCATATGTTTATAATAGCAGTATGAAATATGAAGTCTCAACTTATTTTAGTTTTAATATGTTTGTATTTGTCAGTTCTGACTTAGGGTCACTGGCCTCAATGTTAATTCCGTTTTTCTGTTAACAGATGCTCCCTAAGCTATTGTGTTTCCCCACCACTCTGCTTTTGTTTCAGATTTCCAGTGTCCACAGTTCTTTATTTTTATGTTCATATTTGTATTGAACTATTATTCTCATCTTGTCCGTTTAAAGTTTGAGACCATCTACAGATGTTTTAGATCATTTATTTTTAAGGTTCTCATTTATTCAGAAAGTTTTAAGCATCATTTGAGCAGTGTTATTTTGTTTTTGTTTTTCAAATATATAAACAGGGCAGGATAAGGTACAGAGGAAAGGAGAGGTATTGGTTCTCCTGGCTGAACAAGCCCTTCAGTATGAAGATTACAAAGCGAGCAGTATTCATTGCCAGGAGCTTATGTCTGCAGGTAACTTTTCTATTATGATTGCATTGATTTTGTATTGTTCTCAGGGTAGGGATGAGGTGACTTGGTACTATTTTCTACATTAAATCCTGCCATGAATTCATTATATAAATTCACAATTGCTCATAAAACTTTATGCGATTGAATTTTGGAACACAGTCATCGATGAGTACTCCTATATAAAATTTACTAAACTTCAGAATCTAAAATTCCAGCACAGTTTGAACAATGTAAATTTATTTTGGGTGAAGTCAGAAGTCACTTGATACCAGGTTGTAGTCCAACAGGTTTAGTTGGAATCACACCAGCATTTGGAGTGCAGACCCTTTGTCAGGTGCAGTAAGAGAGCAGGACACACACACACAGAGTTTGTAGGCAGAGAGATTAAAAGATCATACAACTGGTGTGAGTGGAGTGTCAGATAAGTCTGTACAGGTAACCAAGAGTGTTAGACGGTGTGTAAAGTGTTTATAAAGCCAATGTCAGTCCTATGTTGTAATGACAAGCAGGCAGAACCGTAGGAATGCACAAAAGGTGACATCTTGGGTCAGACACTGAATTGTAGATGTGAGGCTTTGTTCGGAATCTGTCCCAGAGTTTTAACCTGGAATCAGGCTGGTTTTACTCCAAAGCTGAAATTTATAAAATGCCACACTGAAGGTGACTACAAATTGTGTCTTTTTTGAACAGAACAGAATGAATCTGCAAATAAATAAACCTCTTGGAGGAAATGATTCACCCTAGGGATTTGTGTGTGTGTGTGTGTGTGCGCGTGTGTGGGAGAGAGAGAGAGAGGGGGGGGGGGAGGTCTGTGTGTGAGAGAGAAGGGAGGTCTGTGTCTGTGTGTGTGTGAGTGTGTGTGTGTGTGAGTGAGAGAGAGGGGAGGTCTGTGTCTGTGTG